GGGTAAATGGAGGGGGGGGGGTGTGTGTGTGTGTGTGACTGTGGTTCGCATGTTTCATGAGACGACGATCCGGGGAAGGTTGGAGATGCGGGTTGAAACGTTGTTTTGGGGGGCGTGCTGAGTCAGGTGGTGGACTTCACATCCGCCTTCATCACAACAAGCTTCTAGTCTTTGAGATGCTATTGTGCTCTCCCATGAGACTCATTACCTAAGGAATCGCGTCTGTCTTCGACACGACCTGTGTAACGAGGGCTATCCAGATGGTACATCTTGACAGGATCAGAGTGTTGGATATCTAAGAAAAGACATGCACCCTGGTCGGGAAGTTACAGGTATGCACCCGAAAAGATATTATCAATTCCGTATTCGGCGATTATGACTTGCAAAGGCGGATCAGGCGGCTGCGAGACTGCAAAATCGTCTTGTAGAGAATGCGGTATTAGGTAGAAAATGTTGGCAGGCATGTGGGAGGCCATGGTGGGAACGCCATGTCTGAATACCGCCGTTTATTTTCAAAGAACATTAGAGAAGGTTGTGTCAACAGCGCCTAGTCAAGGAGTAGACTTCCCTGTCGAGTATAGTGCTGTGAGATGGACTTTCAGACTTGCGGAACGATGCTGACTGCTGAAGGGCACTGTTTTGTAACACATATTTATTCAATGTGCAAACATCTCGAACATGTTGATGGAGTCGCAGGAAATTCAATCTTAGACACATGGAAAAGCAATGATCTTTGAAACTGCGGAAAGCATATGCTAGCCGAATTGCTCCAGGTCCATCACCTGATGTGAATGTCTCCCCATTGAGCTTTCGCCACAAACGAAGGGAATGCCCAAAATTCGGACGGTGTACGCTCCTTGAAAATGGGATTGGTAAATAGTTCTTCAAGTGGCAAGAGGTTTCGCTCCGTTCTGATTGCCAGGTCAAGCAATCCTTGCTGCCGCTTTTTCTTTGTTTCCCGCATTCTCTCCATTTCCTGCAACCTCTTCCTTCGAGCAATTCTCTTAAACAGACCATAGATATCCTCGGTACGCCCAAAGTGCTCAAGGGGTTCAAGGGGTTCAAGGGGTTCAAGGGGTTCAATGGGCCCCCGAAAATCCCGTTCCAACGTCAAATCTGACCGGAGGCGTGATAAATGATGTTCCTGCATGGAAACGGCATGTAAATCATTCAACAAACTTTTCGGGGAATCAGAATGTAGCTCTAGTCGCTCTTGCAGGAACGGCGCGACTTGGGCGTCAGGAACTCCACGTCCAACAGCCAATTTTTTGCAGTCTTGCTGGAAGCGCCGAGCTTCTTCCGACAATCTGTCCAAGTCGTTTCCTAGAATTATCCTGAGCATGTCGTGTGACTCAAACTCTTTGAGCATGTCTGGGTTACAAGCAAGAAAGTGAGAAGTTTCTCGGAAAAGTTCCACTGTTGATTGGTTCCCGTCCAACAGACCTCGAATTTGGAAGCGATTCAAATTGCACATCCAACGGAGATAAGTTAGATACGTTTTGTGCGCTGGGTCGGTAGGGCTCTCATTTGATCCCAGTGAGGGTATCTCTTGTGCCGACGTTCCTAGTGACTCTTCAGGATCATCGGCGAGATTTTCGAAAACATCCAGATCATCTCCGAGTGTATCTGTGGTATTCTGATACCATGTACGATGACCAGTGCTTGGTGTCATATTCGCGAGGAAATCTTCCGGCGTCTCGAATGACTCCGGAATGGTGCGTGATACAAGCGATGTCTTGAAAGTAAAACTCCCTCCTGGGTACGATGCCTTGACGCTTTTGCAGACATCTTTGACTGAGGTCCACAACTCAGCGTCAAACCAACGTTCTGATTTGACGTTTTCCAGGACCGTATTCCAAGCCGATATCGCCCAGATTGCTTCCTTGCTCAAGCAACAAAGCAAATAGTCATTGAATCGCAGAGCTTTCGGTGGATTACAGATACCCACGTAGGTATATTTGGTCGAGTTTGCCTCGGGCCGGAGGATTAACAAGTGATTTGGCAGCCCGGCTACAACGAAGACCTTGTCTTCTTTCCGAACCCACGGCGTAGCCGCTAGTCGAATTTCCCTTTCAATTGCGGGACCGAATGGCATGTATTCCATGCCAGTACGGACACCGTGAGATTCCTCTGCCTCAGATATATCTATCCAACACTCTTCTAGAGAGTATGGCGAAAAGCCCCTCATAACAAGGGTCCCGTCTGGATGAAATCTGACAAGATCTTCCCCTTCTTTAAGCTGAATGATAGGCGACTCGTCTGCTTTTGCGAGATCCAACGTCTTCGTGCTAATGTAATCTTGCGCCTTCTCATCTCGCCTCTCGTTGGCCGTTGCGTTAATGTAGACCTCAGGATTGTCAGTAGGCTCGTATAGTCGAATCGGTTTTGCCCAATCAACAGCCCAGCTTGGCATGCCCTGCGAAGGGGAGGAATTGCACATGGCAAAAATCTGGAACCAGAACTTGGGATCATCTTTCAAGAAGTACGCCGTGAGGCCAGCGAAAATTTGAGCGTGACTTAGAGCATAGTCAGGAGTCAATCCGACCTCCTTCGTTCCAGTGAGAAGGCCCAGTAAGGCGAAAACTTTATCCCTGGGATCCGTTGCATGGCACTTAGTCGTTGATACCATGAGTTTAAGGAGGTCGTCTATGTCCCAATCTTTTCGCTGGTATGCGTCCTTTAGCCAAGGATGTGGGCTAGTTAGCAGCTCGAACTTTTGATGGATGATCCCGGTGGAATTGTCGATATCTTTCCAAATAAATCCTCTAGAACCGTGAAGAATCCATGCATTATTAGCTGATGCTACCTCTTGAACCACCCACATTCTGGTGAAGTACGGTCGCGAGGCCAGGCCCGCGCATATTTTGATGTTCCGTCGTTCAGTCCTGTCGGTCCACGGTACTGAGATGTTTGGCTCTGGGTCATCTGGATCCTCGCCAATATAGATGAGAACCCTCCTAGCCATACTGTATATCTCTCATCATGCCGACCTGATGAGACCTCTCGTGGACGTTGCGTTGGTCGATGCAGACGGCATCGATCCACAAGTGCCTGCGTGCTCCGCTCGGATATCGAAGCCGTCGAAGGGCATTGGCACAGTTGGCGGTAATAGGAAGAATGTTGTAATGTGTCCCCACGTATAGTTTCTGCTTCATGGACGTGTCTCCGTTCTCATCGGCCCAAGTATACGACACAGCTTCGTAATCTGGCTTACGGTGTCGCAAATCGTACGTTGTCAGCTCGCAGCAAAGGACGTCGCCATAATCTCCAGGAAGCAGTTCAATGAGGCGAATTTTTCGACCAGAAAGATAATCGTATGAAAAACCGCTCGTCTTCGGTATAAGATTTCGTTCAGAATGTGGTGCTGGTGACCCAATTTGCTCGGCAACCCCTTGGTCCCCCGTATCCGAAGCAGTTCCTCGCCGCTCTTTGTCTAAAGTGTCACCCACGAAGGGTAAGGAAGAAGGCCAGGAAAGATTAAGTCTGCCATGCGAAAGAGCTCCACGTGTGATTTCTGTTGCAGTACCGGGCGAGTTATACTCAAGCACACCAATACCTCCACAACTCTGGCACGACGGAAAATCGAGCCCTTCCTGGAAGATAACCTCCGGGCGCTGACAAGCTGGCTCGTGCCAATTAAACATATCGAATGAGTGGCTGGTGAGTCAAAAACCATGGATGCGCGGATGGATTGGACACAAAGGCGACTCAAGGTGGAGGGTAAGAAATAGATGGTAGGAAGAGGAGGCTCACCCTCTGAAGTGCTGCTCAATTCCAATTATGCATAATGCAGACCACCCCTTCACGTCTGCCTCCGTCATAAACAGAGCTTAGCCGATGTCCAATCTTTCGCGTTGACACGGCAGCAGTCCTTCCATTTACCTATAATGTGTTGTTTCGGATGTTGCTCAAGTAAAGCTACCATATGATCACGTGTCGAAACGCCACTCGCAACTGGCATCAGCATCTGTGAATGCATGAGCGCATCACGCGGGGCTATGGCATTCTGCCAAAATGACAATGAGGAAGTCACCCAATCATGTTCCTTCAATTCACTGCAGTGCTTAGTGGCGGATTACCTACTTATCATTTGGGAAGCACAGAGTCGGGTAACTTACCAGTACCTGTGATCCATACGAGCGTCTCATGCGTGGCTGTGTCAGTCTGACTGCATGCCAATAAGGAAGTCATCCAATCTCAATCTTTCCATAAGCTGCGGTGGTTAGTGGGGGTGGTCATGGGAAGCTTACCGCCAAGCAGTTAAGAATATTATCTACAATGTGTTTGCCAGCATGTGAAGAATAGTTATTTCACTCAAACGGCAGGCTATGAGCACCGAAGCGGACTTTTACTGTCGTCGTCGTCGTTACTACCTTTGAACACGCACGGCGATTACCTTCACGGCAACGATTTCCAGGGCCGCAAAGTCGTCCTCAGCCACCAGCTCCTCAAAAAGGCCGAGATCACCGCCCGAATAGTGGTCGCGCCACAAAACATCATCGATCGCTTCCTCCATGAGGTCCGAGTCAAGTCGATGGAGGCAGTAAGAGAAGGCAAGCATCTCCTTTTGACGATTTTCTGCCACGGAGACGACAGTTTCATCTATTCCATGCACTATTGCCGTTGTTGCTACTATCGTCTTCGTTGTCTTCATTGTTCTCATGCTTGTTACTACTATTATTTTATTATCACTGCTACGTATCCACCTGGATAGGCAGAGTTATTTGCTCGAATATCAAAAGCTTTTTCTGGGGGAACTCCTTATCACCTAAGAGATGACGAGAATAGTCACAGTTGTTGATCTAGCATGGCTTCTTCCGCATAACCTTGGTCTATCTACTGATTAAGAACTGACACCTAGAGGTGCCGGAACCAAAAGACTAAGCAAGTCAATGCATCTGCAGACGCAAAACGAAGAGATTTGCCAATTATCTCGTATGACACAGCACCTTCTTCAGTATTGAACCAAGGCCCAGTACAGACACGAGTATCAGAGGCTACTAGACAATATACACATCCTCCCACTTCATATCATTTGTCTTGTTCGCGCACGTCGCAACACCACGGTTCTTCACGAACTCCTCTCTAAGCGGAAGCAAATATTTTTCGGTTTCGGCCGCCAAGTCACGCAGCATACCCCACGCCCTTTCTTCAAAACCTCTCTCCAGTATCCACTTCCCAGCATCGATTGCCTCCTCAAAATCCTCAGTCATGACTCCTTCTTCTTCAGGGTTTCCGTCAAAGACCATTGGGCTAGGTGGTTTGTGAGAGACTTGCCTGGGCCGCCGAGACAGCGTCTCCCACATTTCGTAAAAGTCCTCAGCCCATGACCTATTTCCGGCAGTACTGGAATGTTCCCCGGGCGTCCAAGAAGCATCAGGATCAAGTTCCATTGAGTTTCTGATCCATCGAAGCAAAATTTCATCTGCCAGCTTCTCGTCGCGGGTTAGCCTGGGGGCGCAGTTCTTGCCCGCCTGATAGTAGCGCAGCAACGAGTCAAAGTCTCTGGACTTGTGAGTCAACTTTTGGCCGACCAGTCGCCGGAGGAAATCCGTAGCAGACTCATAGCCCGATTTATGGTAGGACACTTTGGACTGCAACATTCTGCCCAGCCGGCGCCAGAACCCTTCCATCAATCCACTATTCATGTAATCAGGATGCCAAGGAGACGAACGCTCATAGCCACGGTGTTTTGGCCTCCCCATTATTTCTCGCAAGCTTCCGTAGTGTTCACCATATTTCGCGTATTCCCCGTAGTGCCAGCACGCCGGCAACAAGAAATTTGCGAGATTGACTCCGGGTTGGTCTTGTAGCCCGGGGACGTTTGGAGTCATCTGCAAAGTACAGCTATCTTCGAGGTATGGCTGTGTGTATCCTCCACGTAATTGGGCTCGTCGGTGTCGATCCTCCTCCACGTCTTTCCGAAGTCTCAACAAAGGGCTTTTCCAAGCTGCAATATCCGGCGTGTGGGAAGTCGAGGTTGCCATATTGTCAAAGCCCTGCTGTCTTCTCCATGGGCTCTTCGACGGATCCTCATAACCTTCTTCCAAAGGATCAACCCAAGGGTTTGTTGACGGTGTTGCCATTTCAAACCACCCGTATGTCTGTATCATGGCCAGTACCTTTGCCACGTCGTCCCAGGCCTGTGGAATGAACCAATCCTCCGTGCGATGGTCCAGAACTTCGTTCCATATCGAGAACAGGAGGGCCGTTTTTCGGTCAACGAGGTTAATTAATTCAGCTGAAGATTCGGTATAAAAGTTCTCACAGATACCGACAAGCGACTGCTTGTTCGTACCTTTCAATGGCCTAAGGATAAGCAGTTCATAGCTTAGGCCATCTACAGCGTACAGTTTGTCGTCTTTGCGAGTCCACCTCGAGGCTTCAAGTCGTGCCTCTCGTTCTCTGATTGGAAAGCCCGGCTCATGGCAAATTCCGCCAATCATCCCGGGAGGAGCGTCCATTGTCTTGAGACTGCAATCTATCAGACTCGTAACAAGAACCCCCTTTACCACAAGGCTGCCATCCTTGAAGAACCTTGCGAACGTATCTTTGGCTGGGCCCAGAAAATTGTCCTCGGGAGAGACAGAACCGGTCCCTTTGGAATTCATGATTTGCAGCCACATTTCCGTCGATTTTGACCAGTCGACTGTCCAGCTAGGCATATCATGTAGAGGATTCGGTCTGGCCATGGCGAAAATTTGCCCCCACGAATCAGGATACTGCGCGAAACTAAGTGCTGTAAGACCACATAGAACTTGAGAAAAGCTGATAGAGTAGTCGGGAACCAATCCGGCATCACCAGAACCGATAAAGAGGCCTAATAGAGCGAAGACCTTGTCTCTTGGATCTGAGGCCTGGCACAAAGCTGTCGCGGATAGGAGGCCCCACAGCTCACTCAGGTCCCTGTGTTTAGGCTGAGCAACGAGCTGAAGCCAGGGATGATGGGCCTTAAGAAGGTCGTAGTTCCTTATACACTTAACCCTGTATACTAGATCGCCAGTGTTGGGAGGCTTGAGGAAGTCTTCCCATCTGGCACCTTTCGACCCGAGTAGAATCCAAGCTGATCGGGCCGAGGCAACCTCCTGAATTACCCAAACTCTGGTGAAGTAAGGTTGTGTCCTCAGATCAGTGCTTAGATCTAGGGTGTTTCCATGATTTTCGTACTTCCATGGAACAGAAGGTTTCTCAGGATCTTCTGCATCTTCACCCAAGTAGATGATGACCCTCTCGGCAGTTGCGTATATGTATCGCATAATGCCAACCTGGTGGGATCGCTCGTGAATATTGCACTGATCAATACAGATAGCATCGACCCAAAGGTTCCTGCTCCAGGACGCAAACCGGAGCCGCCGCAGGGCGTTGGCACAGTTGGCCGTGATGAGCAAGATATCTTGGCGTGCCCCGACGTATATCTGCTGTGACAAGGAGCTATCTCCATTTGAGTTAGCCCAAGTATAAGACAATGCCTCATATTCTGGTTTGAATTGCAAATCAACAGTTTGTAACTTGCAGCGTAATGGGTCGCGATAATTGCCCGGCAGTAGTCGGAGCAGGCGAATTTTCCGCCCGTAGAGTGGCTCATACAATGGCGATTTCGTTTGAATAGACACATGGCCGTCAACATTGCTTGAGCGTCCTTCCATGGTCGACACCGACCTTTTTCTGGTGTTTCTCGGAGTCTTGTGATCGGTCGCTGGGGTAACTCCAGTCGCTCCTTCCTCTAGTTGGGGATCCTCTACGAACGGGAGGGACGAAGGCCAGTGAAGGTCGAAATCAGCTTGCAAGGGCTGTTCATGTGAACTGCTGGCAGCAATCGTTGATGTGTCAGGTTGGTCCACGGTTCCAATTTCCCCACAGTTCAAGCACGATGGAGCTCCCAGGTCATCCAGGAATGAGACATCCGGGCGACGGCAGTCAGCGGCGTGCCAGTTGATCATGTTGGCTCGGATCAGAAAGCCACGAGTTGCGGCTGTGAGTGGTAGTCTAACTAGACGATGAGCAGGTATTGATGAATGAAATCTGATTCAGTGACCTAGGCTGGGGATTATGAGGCATTCATTGGAAGTGTACCGGATCAAGATCAGGCTCCGTCAAATGCCGCAGTCGTAAGTCTACGCGATCTGCATAGCCGCTGGGAGGTTATGAGCCAATCATCGTCAAACACAAGGCGGTGCTTACTATTGGGAGTGAAGTGTGGCAACTTGGCTGCAAGGTGGCTGCGACCAACATCTTCGGCATGATTCTATGCTTGCGGAGAATGTTGTGTCGGTAGTCCGTATTGAAAAAAGCTTTCGTGGAGATGGAGCGTTTTCCCTTACGTGGGTGGAAAAGGCAGAAAGGGAGGCAAGGATAACGTACCTAGAAAAGGAGCGCATTTGTTGATACATGTGGGTGCACTATCCCCCCTTCATGGACTGGTTCATGGAAGTCAGGTCTCACTCGCGAGCCTTCCGAACGTGTGCGAGGCAGATTCGTGTATTCCACTCTCGAAAACAAAATACTGGTACATCAGAGACCAAATTCTCATTTCGTCGCCTTAATCGGCTAAGGAGCGCCGAGGATATCAAGCCTAAGAAAAACTCCATCCCTTCATCCATGCTTTTTACGACTGCTTCTCTAAAATGCAACTATCCTCTCCTATTTGCTTTAAGCAAAACCAAAGCCCTGCGCATTCTCCAATGCCATAGAAAGCCTCTCTCTCAAGACCTCCTTGTCTTTGTACTCGGGCAGCAGTAGTGTGCCATAACATGTGTACGCGGTGGGTAAATGTCCCCCTTCGCCCTCTTCCTCGCCGTTTCTCTGCACGACAAATTGCAAATTCTTCATACCTCCCACCGGGACACGGTCCGATGCCGTGACAAACTCCAGGAGCTTCCTCTTCATCTTCTCGTCATAGCGCTTAACGATCGACCAAAAGTCGCGGACGCTGCGGTGGCTGTTGTCCCAGCCGACATATCTAGCGTAACGGCGCAGCTCGCTAACGTCAATCTCCTGGACACCCTCAACAAGAGACTGGAGAAGCGACGGTGTTAACAGTTGCAGTGCCTTCGGGTGTAGGCAAGCGCGGAAGCCACGTTCAAACGCCTTGTATTGTGGGCGAACAGAGACGTCTGTGAGGTATCTGATGTAGTCGCTCACGTAGGCGTTTCTGTTTTCGTTGGTGACCAGAGGGGCGTCCTCAGGATTTTCGCTTGTGAGTGATTTCCTCGCGGTTGCGTCAAACTGCGGCCAGCTGCTAGCCTTGGCGTCCATCTCTCTTGACACGGGCTGTCCAAACATGGATACCGAGAACTCGTAGGTGCGTGCGAAGATGTCCTCCACAGCTCCGTTGCTCTCGTCCCACTCCAGAAGAGTCGTGAGGCCCATGGCAAGGTCTGGCCAACCGTCGGCGATGTGATACAACTCGTCGACGGGTTCACCCAGAAGCTTGCGGTAGAGAACCTTGGGAAACGTGATTGGCAGCGTCAGGCCGTTATATACGGCCAGTGACATGAGCAGGCCAAGGATCTCGAACTTCCAGACAGGTACGATAGAGCCAGGGACGAACCAGGCCATCCGTGTTCGCTCGTCGACCGTGAAGGCGCCGTAGTCCGGGTTGAGACACTCGGCCACTGCAAGTCTGAAGAATTCCTGCTGGACTCCACCAGAATCAAAGCCCTCCTCGCCACCTTCCTCACCAAGATGAATCTTCAATGGTCTGTGAAGCTCTCGGTCCTCGCGTTGCCACAACTGATCGAATGCGTCTCTGATGACATGCTTTCGGCTGATCTCGAGAATTAGGTACTTTGAAGACGCCGTCTTGAGAAGATCTTGCAAGACCAATTTGTGATGAGGATTGGTGATGAGACCGCCAGGCGCAACTATCGCCTTCATCCTCGTCTGAAGAGAACTTGATTCTTCGTAGCTTCGGCTCATCTTTGAGAAGTTAATTGATCGGAAGTAAGAAACAAGCGTCGATGGATCGAATATGAAGGGAAAGTCCAGGAGGTGCTTCTTTTGTCTGTGGGATGTATGGGAGAGCCAGGCAACCGGCATGTTAATTGAGTCCAGTCTGTCGGCGAAATAATCTACTCGAAAGTGGGCGTCTCCAATTAGAAGGGACTGTCGTTTTTGATCTGTCAAAAGTTAGCTGCAATGTTCAAGTCGCTGCTTCATACACCACTTACACATGGCGGCTATGAGCGACAAGGCTCCGCCAAAGGAGCCATCGCAAGAGATTTCCGGCTTGCCATCCCATTCCTGGAGCAGCACCGTCTTGGCCCAATCCAAAAGCAGAGTAGAAACCCTGGTCTCATGTCCGGCTCGTTCAAGCTGTTCCAGCTCGGGATTTGATGCCAAGTCTCCGTTGAGAGAATCCAACTGCGTAAGGAGAGGTCGCAGAGCATCCAGTTCCTGCTCGTCGTCATCAATATCGTCATCCTGAGCAACCATTTCGGCGAAACATTTGCGAGCTGAGATCGCTGCGAACAATCTTCTCGCTAGCCTCAGAGCAAGGTCATTCGAGAAGGCATCATCGTAAAGAAGGCAAAGCCAAGCTGGCTGCCGTGCCAGAGCACCACTTCCAGCCAGAGTGAGGCCGTTGGACCGGATACGAGACATATCGAAGAGTGTCCTTGAATCGGTGATCAACGGAGCTGCCGCAACCAGAGCATGCAAACAGATTGACAAAAGCTGGCCCGCCTCCACATTGGCAAGTGATCGCTCGCGACGAAAGACTCTTGTGGTAGGAGAACGAAGCGACTGAAGCGATTTTGGCGCGCCAAAGAGACTACCGGCGGCCAGCCATAAACTGTGGAAGACTAGACTGGGAGCGACACGAGTAAGTCGCAACATGCAGTACCAGATAGTGTGAGAGTCCAGAAGTTCATCGTCCTTGACAAAGGATGAGACGAGACTCTGTGGGTCGCTGAGGATGTTGAACAGGGTCTGCTCGATGAACAACTTCCACTGCCTCCGCAGTCGCTTTGGGTATTTACCCCGAGATGTCCATTTCCTTTGCATCTTTGGCCGATCCTTGAGTCCAGAGTATGTGCTGGTGATCTTGGCAGGATCCAGAAGGTGTAATTCTGAGGTGCCGTCGTCTTGCAGAATATCGCATAATAGGTCGACAACCTCCACATTCAACGACGTCAAGGATTGCGGGAGCAGACTGTCGGCCATCGACATTTCGACTGGCTCTTCGATCTTCTTGCAATCGTCGGCAGGGGCGTCAGTACCGACTGGCTCGGTTTGCGGAGGACTTTCCGACTCCGCTTTTGGTGCCTCAGAGGGAGCCTCTCCATTGGTCAAAGCCGGTTTAGATATTGACTCTGGTTCCTGAAGAATCATGACCGGTCGGTTCTGTGATGGGACGTTGTCGAAGAACGATGGCGTTGACGGAATCTCCGGGATAGCGTAAGGGTTGATGTGCGATGCTTTTGGCGGCCTAGGTGGCTTCTCATGTTGACTACCATTTACCCTGGGAGACATTAGACCCGAGGTGACATCCTCCGAATACGATGACGTCGGGTATGGTTCGATAGACAGTTTCCTTTTCGGTTTTGAGTTGGCACGCACTCTCGCACTCGAGCTCCTCTTAGGTTTGCCTGGTCGCGAGTTGGGCATGGTTGGGTTCGAAGCATGGAGTTTCTCGGAGGCCTGCTCTAAGGCAGCGTCTGGCCCTTGTTCCACCGTTGGCTCCGGCAAGTCGTTCTGATCCTTCGTATCGGCGTATATCACTGGCGATATCGCTTGAATCGGTGTCGACTGTCCGGACGGCTTTTGAGATCTGAAAAGCTCCTCCCTGCCAGGACTGGGCGCGGCGTCGGCCTCGAGAGCAGCAACCTTCTGGGACATGGCGTCCAGACCAGCTGGAGTGAGCCATTCCAGCATTTTGAAAGCAACGCTACCAAACACGTTGGCGGCGAAAGAGCGGTAGTCTTTGCTGATGGGTCGCTCGGTGACCTTGACGGGTAGTTGAGCGGTACCAGTGGAGGAGTCGAAATGCGACCGTTCATTGTGGGCGGATCCTGGACGACCGTTTCCCTCGGCTTCCGTGGAAGCCTTATTGGAGTTGCTGCATTCGCCGTTCACGCGAACAGCAGAGCCTGATTTCCGGCGGCGGGGTTCCTTCGGGGTAGAGGGCCGTTTCGAGAATGGATCGGTAAACGCGGGGGCGGCGGGGTTTGGTGAGAATATCAGCGAGTTGACGGCGGCTGGTGGCTCCTTGGACGGCTTGAGGTTTGGGCACAGTCCTGTTTCTGGGTTGTCCTGGCTCGCCAAGTAGACAGCTAATGTCCTCGCACTGGTGGTGTTGTATCGTCTGATGGGGGCCTTGCCAGCGAGGCGTTTGCGACAGGAGAAGCAGGTAGATGTCGTACACGTCTTGGAGTCGCAGCCGTATCGCAGCTGGAGGATGTATCTGTAAAGGACCCAGTCAGCTCGTGCACCAAAGGAGGGCCGCAGCAACAAGTTTGGCGGCTTACATCTCGACGAGGATCTGGAAGTTGTGCCGGCGACTGGCACGGTGGATGGCGTAGACGCGCTTGGGGTTCTCGATGTTCTGGACCATGTCCTTCAATTCGGGGGGCGCATCGGGAGGCAAGCGCGCAAATGGCGCGTCCTCCCATAGACCGGCAAGGACATCGGCATCGAAGTTGTTGTC